TTGAATATGAAATAGAGGAGATGTGTTATAAAATTCAATAGTGTTTTTGAGAAATATTTTTGTTTTTTTAATAAAAAATGGAATGCTAAATTCTAATGCTTGGTTATTTCCTCCAATTCACTACAACGTTTATATTTTATCGAGAAATTTGGATTGTTAATCAAAAAAAAGAAATGTGTTTCTGGAAAAAAGGGAAAATAATGGAATTTAAAAAAAACATGCAAAAATGGCAACATTAGAACAAGACAAAAGGCATGATAACTATAAATATGAAAGTTCAATAAGGTCAAATAAATTACAAGGTGATTCATATTGCATAAACCAACTTCTAAATAAATTATATTTAAGGTTCCTCACTAGAATGAAATGGTTGACAATACGATAAGTAGAACAATTAATTTGCTTTTCTGGAAAGACGTCTGAAATATTCCGTTTTCTATTTCAAACTACAAATGTAATTTGAAAAAAAAAAGAAAAATGGCACTACGCAGCGGTTTCTCCGATTGGATTTTTATTGATGACCCGTGACTTCAGTACACCATTCTCAATCACTTCAATAGTTTCTTTACCTTCTGCTTCTATCCTGCAATTCAATTTTGTCAAATTAAAATTCAAAAAGCACAGAGGAGCTTCCAGTTAATAACAGCTATTTTCATCAATGTAGCTTTTTTAGCTCGTACTGTTCAATTCGATATCCAAAATAATTCTAACAAAAAAAAAAATGCAAAATATGAATATATTAAATACAGAGACAGAGGTAATGAGATTATTACATGAAAAGATATGATAATATATTAATATAATTTAAATCAATTTGAATGAACGAGAGATAGAGTAATAGAAAGACATATTGGTTAAAGAATTGAGTGTGTTGACCGGTCAGATCACAGTGGTCAAATCGAAAGTGTTCTTCTCTAAAACAGCTGTCAAGTTTATAAGTGATGTACTGTACTCACTGTAGCATCAGCGTTATAATACTGAATTCGAGATTTTCGAGAAATTAAAAATTGAAAACAACCTTTTTGTGACAATTTTGACCCCATCAATTATTTTCGTGCTTGTTGATGTTTTACGACTAGAGGCATTCTTTCCCGGTTCCGCGGATGAGAACCGTATTACCGATGAAAAACTACTGCAAAGTTAACGTTAAAAAATTTGCTTCATTGTCGAATAATCAGTTTCAAGTAACTTCCTAAAAAAGTTTAGCAGTTTATTGCCCAGGTATTTTAAATCTTCACCTCTGATATATTCTTGACAATTCCCCGGTTTAAAAAAAAATCTTTAGCATCTATCCGATGAAATGCGCCTTTGTATCTAAAAATTTTTAAATTAAGTTAGAAATTTCATAAAAAATTCCTAACCAGTCATTTTCATTGACAAATTCATTATTTCTTTTATCATCAAAAAAGGCGTCGTTGGTAAATCGCGTTTTATGACTTCCTGAAAAAGTAGCAATCGTCAATAAGAATAACTTTTTCGTTGAAAAATCAAATTAATGAAATTCAAGAATCTGACGAACCGGCTCTCCTGTAAAGTGAGTCAACGCTGTCGGATCTTTTTCGAAAAAAGAACGGTGAAAAAGGTTTTTCATTCATCATAAAATCCTGAAATGTCATTTTACCGTTATAATCGAGAAGCAAAAGGATTCTAAACAAAAGTTGCAATCATTGATCCAAATGAAACTTACATCTAACAGGTCCATGTAGCTATAAAATTCTTGAAAAATATCGAAAGGTGAGCGAAATCGATGATGAAAAACATTACGTGATTGCTTATTATGACGCTGTGAATTACTCAAACGTGAACGATCATATAAGTTGCGTTTCTTTGCTACAAAAGGAATTATAGCAAAATAGATGAGCAGGCGCAGTATCATAGGATGATAGGTTAAAAGAACCTAGTATAAATATTGGAACAGTCCGGATGTTGGAAATGTTTAATGCGATCCATCCGGTTCAATAACGAACTTTCTAATTGTACCGATCATTTTAATTTACTAATTAGAATACTGATAATCATTGTAAAATATGAAGAAAGTCGAAAGATAAAGCAAAGATAACAAACAGCGTAGTTATCCATTCCAATTGTTTGAAAGTTTAATCGTTATAATTTGTCTACATTTTTTTCAGACTTCATCGAATTTGAAAAATTTTGGATTGAATAAATTGTGCATTCCTTTTTCTCATTCCTTACAATATGAAACACTTTTGAAATATGTAACAGAGATTTTCCATGCTGGAGAAACTTACGATCCGATAATACTTCATATGCTTGAGTTATACGTTTAAATTTTTGTTCTGCAATTTTATTGTTGTTCGGATTTTTATCAGGATGCCATTGTAATGCCAGTTTACGATATCTGTAATAGATTCTTTATTTTATTATTTTTTTTAAATTTAAAATGTACTATTCTTCAATTTCCTTTTAATTAATTTGCATAAACTTATCAGTGTTGTCTTAGTTCTATTTTTATCCACGAATTTTACATGCATATCTAAGAAACAGTTTAGAATTTATAATGGTTCAATTTACTATCAAACATTTGCATCATAGTTGAAATTTAAAATAAAATTTCTGCTAAAAAAATTGCCGAAATTCGGATGCATTAAATACAATATTGTGTTCATCGAACGATAATCATGCAAACTTCATTGCTTTTTTTAAATAAATTTCCCCATCTTACACGTACTACAATGGTTGCTCATCCGTGTTAATCATGACAAATCAATGAGTAATTCATTAAACAGCAAACAATCTCTGACACGGATAATAAAAAAAGTGAGGTCAAATATTTCTTGCTTAATCGACTTAATCCACTTAATCGACCTGTTAAAGATTCTCAGAATGACGAAGGGCGCATTTATCATTTTGATATTGCTAGTTGTGAAGCGTAATCAAACTATATCATCTGTAAATTGGATTATTTTAAATCTCTTTAACCGGAAAATTAAAATTAAAATTCATTATTTCGAAGAAATTCTCGGAGATTGAAATAACAAACGCTTTCATTAACTGATGGATTAGTGAAAACATGAATTAAGAAAATGGTGAATGAGAAATATTCCAAAATAACTTCATTTACGTTTGAGTTTTCATCTTCCCCTTCCTTCACTTTATTTCTCTCCCTACAGCATCACCATCATCTCATACCTATTCTGTTGGTGTTATTTGTATGAGTCATCTTCATATATCTAATATTCAATCAAAAAATTTTATTGCAATAAACTGTATTTAACCAGGCAATAATAGAAAGTATGCAATTAATTCTTTGTCGGAGAAATGAAAAGTATTTATCACCAAAATTAATAAAAATTATATAACCCATCTGTATAAATATGTGTTATATATTGATGAAAAACATAACGAAGAGATTAAGCTTAGAATTTGAATAGAATGAGAGAAGACTATTTGACCAGTACAAAATAATTTTTCAAGATTGAGCTAAGATTTTTATCGAAGTAAACTAGGTTAAAATTAAATCTTACCAATAAAAGAAAAATTGAATTATAAGGATATCTTTAAATGCATCAAGATTTTGTTAGAAATCTTCAGAAATATTGAATATTTATTTCTTTTACAAAAAAAGTATGGAAGAAAAAAAGATCAATTTCTTATTACAGCATATT